TGTGGCCTTTGCCTTTAGTTCTTGGGAGGTGATCTCTAAGCCACTGGAATGTCCTGCCTGATAAGAGTGCCTTGGGCTATGCCAGGTAATCTATGCTAACAACATGATTTATGGTGGTGTGGTAAAGTTGTGTGTCAACTTGGCTGGGCTGTGGTTTTGAGTGGCTGGGCAGCTGGATGTAGTTATCTCCCATGATGAGACTGTAATCACCTCCACAGGGGACTCTGCTGTAAGCACCTAATCAGGTGATGAGGAGTTGCCTCTGGGGTGTGGCCTGTTCCTAGTAAGAGAAGATCTGAGGAAGGAGGTCTCTAGCTTTTGTCACATCTGGATCCTGCATTTGGCAGTCTTCGTCTCAGTGGCCTGCCATGTTGCCTGCCAATCTTGGGATTGTTCATAGACTTGAACCAGTTGCCTGCCATGTTACCTGCCAGTCTTGGGATTGTGCCATTTCACCTGTCGATCTTGAGTTGGTCAGCCTCAGCATCCAGCAGCTGCATGTGTGGCTGGTGGGTTCTAATCACTGCCTTTTCAGATAGCAGCTAAGGACTTAACCATTGCACCATCAGGGTTCCTTAATGTAACCATTACCACTATGTATTTCTGAAAGGTTTTTTTTTTTTTTAAATCACCCCAAACAGAAATTCAGTACCCTTAAGCAATACCACCTCAATATGTGGTAACCACTAGTAAACTTTTCTCTCTATACATTTGTCTAGACTAGATAGTTCATTAAGTGGGATAATAAAATATTTGCCCTCTTGTGTCTGACCTGTTTCACTCAGCATGTTTACGAAGTTCATGAATGTTGTAGCATGTATCAGAACTTCATTTCACTATATGGTGAATAGTATTCCATTGTACGTATGTACCATATTTTCTTTATCCATTCATTTGTTGATGGACACTTGGGTTGTTTCCATGTTTTTGACTACTGTGTTATTCTTATCATTTTATAAAAATATTTTTCCTTCTCTGGCTAAACGTTCAGAGATCCACCACCATGAATATCTCCCTGCCACACGCACAAGTGCACACATTATACATGCAGGCATGTGCCTGCACACACACAGTCACAAATTTAGTAATCATAGAACTGGAATGAACTGATGGATCTGATTTTGAAACTGCACCTTTGAAAAATTTTGTTTTTGAATAAAACACATTTGAAACTGGACTATTTTATCTTTCCTTGTCTGATTTCGTAAGCTACTTAAATTGCAAAATGTGTTTTTATTCACAGTGCCTCTTAATCTTTCATTCTTTATTCCAAGTTATGATTCCACTGCAAATAAAGAGAAGCAGCAACATTTCTGACGGAACGAAAGAAACGCAGGTGTTTCTACTGCAATGCTGTTTACAAGTGTTATCATTTTCTCAGGATAAATAAACTAGAAAAACCGTGCATTCTACAAAACTGCAAATAAAAATAACAGGGATTGAGGAAAAAATAGGATAGGGACATAGCACTCAAAATACATTTAGCTTTGTAACCAGAGTACTAATAAAAATAATAATTACTCCATTTAAAATACTAGCATTCCTCTACCATTTGTACATAGCATCACAGTAAAGTTTTGCAGCCTTAAATTTCAAGATGTAGGTCTTTGAGACATTCACCTCCAATAGAGAACAGTGTTATCAAAATTTAAAATCTGCTCTGCATCTGTATTTTCTTCTACAATCTTATTTTAAACACAAGAGATGTATCTTCTCTGATCCTTCATCTACTCTTACAGCTTTACCACATTATATTACAGGGAGGACACCAGTTTTTAAAGCCATTAAACCAGCTAGTATTTGCACTAAGGGAAGACCTGGGTTTCAAACCAGTTCTTCCCAGTTCAGTCATGGCTGATGAAGCAAAACTGCAATGAACCTGAATTTGTAAAATGTGGGTGAATCAGGATGTTAACTGAAACAGGAAAAATTACAGGTTGATGCCCTGCTAGAAAATCTCCCTCTAGAAAACAAGGGCAGCATGTGCATTACATAGCAAATAAATCTCATTACCAGTAGAGTCTCAAACAAAGGTGTTCCACTCAAAGATGGTGGCCAACTGCTCTGCTTTGAATGTGTGTCACTCTCCATAGTTCTGACAATAATCCAATTTCCTGCATCAGGCTATTGAAACAGTTCACTAAACCTCTTCCATGTCTCCTATACCAGGGCTTCAACCAGAATTTTTCCCATTCCAGTTATTGTCCCACTTTACCTAAATTTTAAAATTTGGTTCTGTTCTGATTTTCCTCCATTGGCTATGACTGAACCAGTGTTGAACTAGTTCAAAGCCCTCAGGAAGATACTGAAAAATACCTAATATTAGAAGGATTGTACACACCTTCATAGGGAGAGGTTCTTCATTCTTTTCCTTGGATATTCTCATAGCAATATTTTGCAATAGTATGTTCAGCTTATATTTTAAGGTCCCTATATATAGTTAAAGCTTCCTTCTTTAACTTTGAGAAAGTTATGGCTGAACAGTATTCCATTTGTATGTGTGTCTCATATGTTCTCTACCCATTAATTTGTTGATGGACACTTGGATTGTTTCCATGTTTTGACTACGGTGTTATTCTTTTCATTTTATTAAAATATTTTGCCTTTAAGAAAGTATGCCTCTAAATGCTTCAAAGTATTGGTGTGCTGGGATAAATATGACATCATTTTCTTAGCTGGTATTAATTTGATAGAAATGTGTTGCAGCTAAATACACTGTGCTCCATAGTTTTCTAACTTTGAAATGCATTAATTTCCCAATCATTTTCCTTGGCAGCAACCACAACTGGGTTTTAAATCTCCTTCATCCAAGAATTATTCAACAAATATTTACTGAGCACCTCTAATGGTCCAGAGTCAGTTCAAAATGCTGAAGAGACAAGGGTGAACATGACAGACAAGGTTTCTATTTCCATGGATCTTATATTCTGGTGGGGAATACAGACAATAAACAAGTAAATAAAAAATATTTATGTTGCTGTGAAGAAAGTAAGACAAGGTGTGGCTATGGAATGAGACAGGGTTAGGTTGTTATTGGTAGAGAAGCTACTTTAGAAGGTTCTTCTATTGGGGAAACCCTCTCTGGAGAGGTAACATCTGGATGAAGACTTGTAAGAGGAGAATGAACTTGGCTTGTAGCCAAAGAACAGACATGTATATAAGATGAACATTTACACTAGGTAGGTACACTGCTTAGAATAATCAATCACAGGAGATCAGAACGGCAGTATTTGTACAGGGAGATAGCTCAGAGGGCAGAAATGCATAGGAAAGGACACAGGGAAAAGGTAACCACAGGGAGGAAGTAGGAAGAGAGCTGTTATATTATGGAGATTGCAATGAATGTCATGAAACAGAATACTGTTACACTGTAGGGATTGCAATCAACGTCATGAAACAAAATGTGTTATAAACTATTGAATGGAAAACCTATTTACTCTGTAAACTTTCATCCAAACCACAATAACAAACTTTAAAAAAAGAAGAAAAAGATGAGAATGAACTAGTCATTGGAGATCGGGGAAGATTTTTCAGGCAGAGGAAACATAAAGGGATATAGCAAGTGCAAAGGCTATGAGATGGGAGAGCACTTGGTATGTTTGAGGCAGATTCTTATATAAGAATCACCTGGGGCTCTTGCTAAAATGTAGATTCTGATTCAGTATATCTTTTTTTTTTTTTTTTTTTTAATCAACAATGATTCACTATATCTGAGGTGGAAAGGCAACTTTTCAGCAGGGAATTGAACAAGAATGAACTAGTTTTAAGCCCTGGTTTGAGGAACAAAATTAAATCTGGCTAGGGCATCCTCAGAAGTATACTCAGAACAGAGTGCTACACATCACTGCCATGAAGAAGTTGACTTTAAAGACCAAGTCACTGTTTTTTAAGAATTTAATGTACTCTGTGCTTCAAATAGCCAAAGGTACGCCAAATCCCTGACCTTTATCTGAATGTCAAGGTCAGGCAATGGAGCACAATACAACTGGTCATCACAAAGTGTACAGTTGGAATGGGGCTGGATTCGTTTGGCCTCTCTGAGGGGGTTGTAGAAATCTGACTTGGGCTCTATCCAGATATCAGCATTGGGAAGGGAGAAGGGAATGGAAAAAGGCTTCTCAGGAGGCAGCCTGGGATAAGTGGGACATGATGAGGGTACAGATGTTGGAGCTGGACAGATGGGGTGGGTCATAAGGGAAGGACTGAGTAGTTACAAAGGCAAGATTCTGCATGTCCCTTCATAAAAACAGGTCACAATTTTGTTTCTTTTACCAGTTAGACATTTACTCTGATGACCTAGTAACTTTCTAGCCAGAATAGCCAAGTAGTAGGCTGTTACTCTTTAGTAGTGAGAACAGCCAGACTTCATGTCTTGTCCTATGGTCCACTTGTCAGAAGGAACCAGTTCCTGGAGAAGGATACCATGCTGGGTAAAGTGGAGAGTTAATGAAAAAGTGGAAGACCCTCAAGGAGGTGGATTGACACAGCTCAAGCATGGCAAAGACTGAGGATGGTGCAAGACTGGGCAGTGTTTTATTGTTGTACACAGAGTCAGTATGAATTAGAACCAACGTGATAGCACCTAACAACAGGGTTTCACGGATTTTTGCAGAAACCTCAGCCCCCCAGACTGATTCCACTGTGTCTTCCAAGAGCTTTTATGTTGCTTTGAAATTTTTCTCTACAAGCTCTCTGTTTTTAATAAAAATATCTAATATTCTCAGAAGGATTGACAAGCCATTTTCATGGGGAGAGGCTTTTCTCTTCTTTGGATACTCTTGTAGTGATTGGCAAAATTCTAGGGTAAGTCTTTCTTAAGAGGGAATTGTACTACAAGGCCAGGGTGACTTCAGGGGGAACTTCTCATGTGGCATAATGCCACAGTAGGAGACAAGCTCTGTTGATACCTGGTAGAAGCTTGTTGTGTTAAAATGATACCAAAACTCAGAGGTTCACAATTCACACCAAGGGAGATGAGAAACTAAGCATGCACTGCTTACCTGTTTTTTCTGCAGCGAATTGTAAATGCAAGAAAGAAGAGTATCAGAAGAAGTCCACTGCTCAGAAATGTCCAAACAATACCCAACAGGACAGGAGACACTGGAGACGTGGATGTACTGCTGTAGGAAGAAGTCTGAGAATAGAATAAGAAGTTGTTAGGAAAGACTAATCTTCTACAGATAAAATATGAACAGCCCATCACCACCAAAGCTGGCAAATATACACCCTTTTATCCCTCTTCTTCCTTCTCCCACCTCTTGCTGTCCCAAACCCACCAGCACAATCATTACCAAGTATATCTGAGAAGCTCTGATATTCCAGATGTGCTCACTTACAACTGTTGTCCTACAGAGATCCTGGAATGGTCTCCAATGCAGCTCCTGGCCAGGAAAACTGTCGCAAAATTCAGAGCAGTTTATTTCAGACTCCATGTCACCACATGCCCCTTGTGATGTGCGATTATTCACAGTCTTGATTACCCATTGGTAGGGAATGCAGACCTTCGATTAAACCACAAGACAAATGCAAACCTTTTCTTCAGAGGCCCCATTTTAAAATAAACTCCTGGCTCAGAATCCGAGATGAACCACCGAGGTGGATGTGAAGGGTTATTGCACTAAGCTCCTTCATCAGACACCCTCCAGGGTCTCCTGGTCCACTGCTGACAGTGTGCACCATGTGAGTCCAGAGTAGGCATCATAGAAACCATTAGGTTACACAAAAGGATGATTCTGGCTTGCCACCAGATGGCAGTCACTGCTCCAAGTACTCTCACACAGGTCCCTGAAGGAAAAGAAAGCAATTAAACCGGTTAACAAACAAACTGATAGATGTTTATACATCTATATCTATACATATCACCACTCATCTGTCAGTTTGTCATACTGTAGTGGCTTGTGTGTTGCTGTGAGGCTGGAGGGTATGCCACTGGTATTTCAAGTAACAGCAGGATCACCCATAGTGGATAGGTTTCAGTGAAGCTTCCAGACTAAGACAGACTCGGAACAAGGAAGGGGCCACCCACTTTTCAAGGCAGCCAATGAAAACCTTATGAATAGCAATGAAACACTTCTGATATATTACTGGAAAACTTGATGAACAGCCATGAAATACTGTTTGATATAATGCTGGAAGATAAGCCCCTCAGGTTGGAAGGCACTCAAAATATGTCTGGGGGTGAGCTGCCTCCTCAAAGTAGAGGTGACCTTAATGATGTGGATGGAGTAAAGCTCTCAGGACCTCCATTTGCTGATGGGGCACAACTCAAAATAGGAAGAAACAGCTGCAGAAAAACCATTAAAAATTGGAACAGTGAATGTACAAAGTATGAATGTAGGAAAAATGGAAGTTGTCAAAAATGAAATGGAAAGCATAAAGATCAATCAATATCCTAGGCATTAGTATATCGCTGAAATGGACATGAGTTGAAATGGACTGGTTTTGGCCATTTTGAAGCAGACAATCACATGATCTACTATGCAGGGAATGACAATTAAAGAGGAATGGCATGACATTCATCATCACAAAGAATGTTTCAAGATTTATCCTGAAGTACAATGCTGCCAGTTATAGGATAATATCCATACGCCTGCAAGGAGTATTATTCAAACTTATGCACCAACCACCAAAGCCAAAGATGAGGAAATTGAAGATTTTTAACAACTTCTGCAGTCTGAAACTGACCAAACATGCAATCAAGATGTGTTGATTGTTACTGGTGACTGGAATGCAAAAATTGGAAGCAAATAAGAATCATTGGTAGTTGGAAAATATGGCCTTGGTGATAGAAATGATGCTGGAGATTGCATAGAATTTTGCCACACCAACTTATTCATTGCAAATACCTTTTTTCAACAATATGAACGGCAGCTATACACATGGATCTCACCAGATGGAATACACAGGAATCAGAACGACTACATCTGTGAAAAGAGGAGATGGAGAAGCTCAGTATCTTTAGACAAAACAAGGCCAGGAACTGACTGTGGAACAGACCAACAATTGCTCATATGAAAGTTCAAATTGAAGCTGAAGACAATTAAAACACGTCCACAAGAGCCAAAATATGACCTTGATTATATCCCACCTGAGTTTAGAGACCATGTCAAGGACAGATTTGGTGCATTGAATGTCAACGACCAAAACCTAGATGAATTGTAGAATGACACCAAGAACATCATACATAAAAGCAAAAAGTCATTACAAAGACCAAAATGGTTATCAGAAGAGACTCTGAAACTTGTTCTTGACTGGAGAATAGCTAAAGCAAATGGAAGTGATAACAAGATAAAAGAGCTGAACAGAAGATTTCAAAGAGCAGCTTGAGAAGACAAAGTCAATTATTATAATGAAATGTACAAAGACCTGGAATTAGAAAACCAAAAGGGAAGAACATGCTCAGCATGTCTCAAGATGAAAGAACTGAAGAAAAGATTCAAGCTTCAAGTTGCAATACTGAAAGAGTATATGGGCAAGATATTGAGTAATGCAGGAAGTATAAAAAGAAGATGGAAGGAATACAGTCACTGTACAAAAAAGTATTAGTCTGTGTTAATCTATTTCAGGAGGTGACATATGACCAAGAATCAGCAGTACTGAAAGAAAAAGTTGAAGCGACACCAAAGGAATTGGCAAAAACAGGGCTCCAGGAATTGACAGGATACCCAATGAGACATTTCAACAAATGGATACTGCACCAAAGGCACTTACTAGTCTATGCCAAGAAATTTGGAAGATAGCTACCTGGCCAACTGACTAGAAAGGATCCATATTTCTACCCATTCCAAGGAAAGATGGTCCCACAAAATGAGGATATTATCACACAATATCCTTAATATGACATGCAAATAAAATTTTGCTGAGAATTCAAACATGGTTGCAAAAGTATATTGACAGGGAACCTCCAGAAATGCAAGCTGAATTCAGAAGAGGACATTCAACAAGGGGTATCACTACTGACACCAGATGGATTTTGGCTGAAAGCAAAGAATACCAGAAAGATGTTTACTTGTGTTTTATTGACTCTGCAAAAGCATTCAATTGTGTGTATCCTAACAAATTATGGATACACTGAGAAGAATGGGCATTCCAGAGCAGTTAGTTATGCTCATGAGGAACCTGTACATAGACAAGAAGGCTCTCATTTGGATAGAACAAAGAGACACTGCATGATTTAAAATCAGGAAGGGAGTGTGTCAGGCTCGTATCCTTTCACCATACTTATTCAATCTATATGCTGAGCAAATATCTGGGAAGCTAGACTATATGAAGAAGAACATGACATCAGGATTGGAGTAAGACTCATTAACAACCTGCAATATGCAGATGATGCAACCTTGCTTGATGAAAGTGAAGATTACTTGAAACACTTACTGAAGGTTAAAAATTTACCCTTTTCAGTATGGATTACACCTCAACATAAAGAAAACAAAAATCCTTACAACTGGACCAATAAGCAGCATCATGATAGATGGAGAAAAAAAATTGAAACCATCAAGGATATCATGTTACTTGGATCCACAATCAACACCAATGGAAGCAGCAGTCAAGAAATAAGATGCTGTACTTCACTTGGCAAATCTGCTGCAAAAGACCTCTATAAAAGTGCTGAAGAGCAGAGATGTCTCTTTGAAGACTAAGGGGCACCTAATGCAAGCCTGAGTATTTTCAACAGCCACATATGCATATGAAAGCTGGACAATGAATAAGGAAGACCAAAGAAGAGTTGATGCTTTTGAGTTGTGGTGTTGGCAAAGAATACTACAAGTACCATGGACTGCCAGAAGACCTAACAAATCTGTCCTGGAAGAAGTGCAACCAGAATGCTCCTTGGAAGCAAGAATGGTCAGACTTTATCTCACCTACTTTGGTTATGTCAGAAGGGACCATTCCCTAGAGAAGGATATCATGCATGGTAAAGTGGAGGGACAGTGAAAAAGCAGAAGACTCTCAACAAGATGGATTGACACAGTGGATTCAGATGGATTAACAATGGGCTCAGATATGTGAGGATGGCACATGACTGGACAGTGTTTCATTCAGTTGCACATAGGGTCACTATGAGTTGGAGCCTACTAAACAGCATCTACCACCACCACCTATGCATACATACATACACACACAAACACATGTAAATGATTTATTGTCATTGGGTGCCATCAAGTTGATTTCAATTCACAGCAATATAATTGCCCCATAGTGTTTCCTAGGCCATAATCTGTACAGGAACAGACTGCTAGGCCTTTCTTTAGCAGAACCACTGGATAGGTTTGGACTGCCAAGTTTTTGGTTAACAAACAAGCACTTAACTATTGTGCTATCAGGGCTCCTAGTGACTTATCATGTTGTTGTTGTTGTTGTCATGTGCCGTCGAGTCGGACCCGACTCATAGCAACCCCTCCTTGGGTTTCCAAGGCTGTATCACTACAGAAGTAGATTGCCCAACCTTCCTTCCAAGGAGTGGCTGGTGGGTTTGAACCGCCAGCCTTCTGGTTAGCAGTCAAGTGCCTTAGGCACTATGCTACCAGAGCTTCCTTAAAAATATACTATATATTTTTATTATACATAGTTATATTTTTATTATATATACTTATATATTTTTTATATTGCACAGGATTAAAATACATATTTAAATAAATACACATTTAAATCTTGCAAACAAAGACAAAGCACATCTAACAATTCACATGTATAAAGCTCGACAATCTCTCTTTGGATCCTTTCATGATCCAGTAGTGAAAAAAACTTTACTTGAGACTTATGAGGCACATCTCCCTTTTTTCCTTGCTGGGAAATTCCCTGCCCTTCCAAAATCTTTCCATGCAACTCATGGCTTAAGCTTTGCCTGACCCTGGGCTTAAGCACTGGACTCAGGTACCCCATGCTTTCTGTATGCATGGTCTGTTGATCCTTCCAGCTCCTTCTCTCTCTCTGAGTAGAGGAACATTCTCTGTTTAGTCAGCTCGGGTCACAGAAGGATATCCTCTGCTAAGGGTTTTTTGTTTGTTTTTGAACTATTAGGCTAATAGAAAGGGAACAGGTTATTCAGGTGAAAAGAAGAGAAACTGAGCAGATTCTCTTAGTGTGAGTGAGTAGCAGGAAATTAGTGCTATTTCTCTTAGAAGATTCTTGCAATATGAATGTTGTGATCTAAAAAGCAGCTCAACTTTGCATAACAAAGATGGATAGATAAGGCTCAAATAGGACTAGTAGAAAAAGACATACATGCCTCCAATTCTATAAAGCAATCCATCTCTCAATAGAAAAAAAAATAGATTTGAAATTTTATCACGGGAATTTAAAAGAGAATGCCACTTCTGTTTGGGTTTTTGAAACAACTTAGCACAGTGTTCTTTGACTGTAGAAGAAAACTGGAAAAGGACAAAAATACCAATTACTATTATTTCAGCAGCCATCAAACACATGACCCATG